TTATTTTTCCATAAAAGCGAAAATTTTACGCATAGTATACATATAACGCATAAAATTAAAATTTAGTAACATACAGAGTGGTTATAATTAAAGTTCCACATTGAAACGGTCATAAAAGGAAAACTACTGGATCAAATGTTATCAAACTTGGAAATCGTGTAAAGGAGGTGATGGGAATTTATTTTCCGCGAAAAAAAGGAAGTTCGAAACCTCACCACCAGGGGGGAAAATGGCGCTGCATGCAATATTGTTAAACGAAATATGGGTCGGAATCTAACTTAACCTTTTGTTAAACGGGTTTAATATGTTGCATACCCTTAAGAAACTTTGAAGTAGGCAAATTACCATTTAAAGACGTTAAATTTGATAAATGTCGAGCGCGCCATCCCTGTAAGTGAGAATTTCGTCCGTGAAAACCACGAATTAGCGATTAGAAAATGTGAGATCGCAAATCACTCTCACAAGTGCGTACAATCTGGAAATCGTTTTCTTACAGATCGCTAATTTGTAATTTTTTTGAAGCCTGAATTCGGCCACTAAAAACATGAAGATACTGATTCAAAAAACGCTTTTAATCGATTTGGGCCAAAGAAAAGAAATCCTCTCATGTTATCTATCTAGTTCCATTGCATTCTCCTACTGCATTCGATTGCATAACAGTCATTTCCACACCGTTTACTGTTGAATGACAGCTAGTTTTATAACAGAACTGAACTGAATAATTTTTCTCTGAAGAGCAGTCGACAGCTGGACCACTGCGATTGCAGCTCACTTAGAGTCAATATTAAAATGTTTCGTGATACATGAACTGCAGTAACGTGGCATTTTAGATACTACGATTTTTTTATGCAGGGCTTGGGCACCACCTCAAAAGTCTGTCACATAGTTACTTAGGCAACATTTCACACAAATGAACGTCTTATAGGCCAACACTTCCCCTCTTCCCACCAGACCTCAACCTCTGTGACTTTTGTCTATGAGGTTATCTCAAAAGCACTGTTTATGGTGATAATCTAAACAATTTGGCAGAAATGAAAAATGTGATACACTGATAACATTCCTCCTGATATGCTATGTGTAACATGTATACGAGTCAGTTTCCCTTAAAAAGTCCTCCACAAAGGCATCCCTCCCTTAAGGCAGATAGCCCTCGAGTGCTTTGCCGTAATCTAATAAACCAAACCAAAACCAAACCTGATATGCTAAGAGCTGCTGTTGAGAATGCAGTAACATGATTTAACTTGCTTTCGGAAAATGCTGGACGCTACATTGAACATGCTTTGTAACACGTTTCGGAAAATATTAAACACATTTTAAACAGATGTTTTTGTGTCTTATTTCATTTAACAATGTTGTATACAGCGCCATTTTTCCCTGATGGTGAGTTTTTGAACTCTTTTTTTTCCGCCGAAAATAAATTCCCATAAGCTCCTTTACACGATTCCCAAGTTTGATAACATTTGGTCCGGTAGTTTTCCTTTTATGACCATTTCAATTTGAAACTTTAATTATAACCACCATGTAAATTAAACTTTAAAAGTTTGACAATTTGGTTCAAGTCCCAGCTTTAAAAATATATATGTAATGATATTTTTAAATTAATTGATTAAATTAAATTCTAATAATATTGCTTAATAATGTGTTGGCGATTCTCTACCTAAATTGCATCCCTGTTCCTAAATTTTGGCGAAATCCTTTCTTTAGTGTAAAATATATTAACCTGTTGGCGCCTGCCAAATCGCCAAACTCATAAATCTGTCATATTACATAAAGTACTTAAGAACACTCCTGATGAGAAGATAGCGTCACCTCGTGATTTCAATTAATATCGCTGATTGGAGGAGCTTCGTGACGTACACATATGTATAAGTAGGGCTTCTGCTCAAGGTATGAGGAGAACGCTTGTGAGATGGATGCTAAAATAAACCTACCACTTTATATTCCAAAATTTGTCTCATTCCTGTTGCCCCGGCTGCACAAAACAAATAATGTATGAGAAATTACATTTCATATATATAAATATAATCTTTTATATTAATCCTCTTAGAAAGAATGTTTTAAGAAGCTAATTTTTCTCTCGCGTTATAGACTGTATAAAAAATCATGATCTTTAGTATGATTTAGATTGTTTCAGCCGATATAAGAGTCGGGTTACTCGGTGGTACAGAATAAACCCTGCTGGACTGTTTTATTTCTTTGTCATTTAGTAAAAATCTTTTAATTAAAATATTTATCCTTTGGCCTTCGCTTTAAACTTTATTTATAGCTAAAATGACTAGAAAATGAAAAGCTGTCTTTAGCTGAAACGCAATTCATATAATTGATATTTTTAAAAAATTGACAAGAATGCAAAATGTATGGAAGTCTAGCAGTCGAAAAATCTTAATTTTCTTGTGTGAGCACTGAAAATAACTGTAGAGGGAAAGAAGAAAATTAGGGAGAAAAGTAAGCAAAAATTTGCAGGGAAATTTGGCTGTCAGACATACCAAGATGTTCAAAAAGTTGGACGCTTTCGAATATACTTTCAGGATACTTCAAAGAATTTAGGTGTTCAAAGAGAAAACACTTGAACGTGTACACCGGCAAATACCATCAATTGAGCTTGTGTTAACAGAAAAGACAAAACGATATCATTGCAGATTAAATTGAAGAGCAACTGGTTTTAAACTATATGGTTGTGTAAATTACGTTATAGAACATCATATCGTATCATAAATGGTGAATCCCATGATTTCTCAGTCGAATTATTTGAAGATTCAGGAGTTTATCAAGTGATGTATGTGGATGTCACCTAAAGATGTTTTTTTCCCCTTCCTGATGAAACAGCGGCCGAGCGGTAAAGCCGCTGAACGCTGGTAGTTCGGTCCGAGGTTCAAATCCCGCGAACGGGCTGGCTGCATGGGCGTTTTCGTGGTTTTCCCCATGTGTAACGTGTATGCGAGCCAGTTTCCCTTAGAAAGTCCTCCACGAAGGCATCCCTCCCCTTAGGCAGATAGCCGTAGTGTGCTTTGTCATAATAAAATAAACCAAAACCTTTTGATGAACCAGTCTTTCCTTTCATCTCATACCTTCAAAATGTTTAGCCTCTAAAGACTGATAAAGGCTCTGACGAAATACTTCGTGAATAACTTTCTAAGGGAAACCAGCTGTCATACGCGGTATACATGAGAAAATTCACGAAAACGCCCATGCAACCAGCCCGTTTACCGGGGTTCGAATCCCGGAGTGAACTAACAATGTTCAGCAACTTTACCGCTCGGTCGTTTGTGGGCCTTTATGAAATGGAAGGCGATAACTTTATTTAAAATGATTGTCAGAAATACCAAAATGTTTCGAAAAGTTGGATACTTTTCAATATACTTTCAGAATGCTTAAAGAAAAAAAAGAGAGAAAAAAATAAATTTTTCGTAAAATAAAATTTAGTATTCGTATTTTTTTAATTTAAAACTTTTCAATCTTGATATTTGATTCTTGCGATTTCAAAAATAAAATATTTGACTAAAATATGAGTAACATTTTAAGAAACCAAATGTAGGATAAAATTGTGTAAAGCAATGGTCACAATGATAAAACTGTTTAAAGCAGTGCATGCAAGTCATCCTAAGTTAAAATATCTGTTATACATCTCTCTTATATATATATATTTTTTCTGAACGGAACATTGAAAGGTGTGTAAAACTGTGCTTTACTGTATTTTCTCTTTTAATATAGTATGCAGTTTTCAAACGCATCGTAGTCTGGGTTACAAAGTATTCTTCCGAAAGAAACGCAATTCAAATAAATAAAATCAAATTCTGGAAAATTGATATTAATAAATATATTTAAAATGCTCAGTTCGAAGGAATAAATAGAAAATTTTAACACAATAATCTGAAGAGGCAATGCAACACAAACAATTAAAATAAAAGTATAAAAATTTTAAAATGACCTAAAATAATAACTATGACGAAAAATATATATAAAGAAAACTATTTGAAAAAAAATAAATAAATAAACGCTGCACCTTTATTTACGCAATTCGAATAGGTAAATAAAAATTTTTTAAAACAGTTATTCGGGGGAAAAAAAAAAGTTCAACTTAAGCAATTAAAATGAAATTCGAAAAAGAAAAAATTACTTAAAATAATAAGTTATAATTAAAAATATAATATAAAGAATATTATTTGGAAAAAAGGAACGATGGTGACTTTTTTTCCTCTCACGGGAAAGGAAACTAGGTTGCCATATATTAAGAAGTTCGCCAAGTAAAGTATTCTTGGCGCAAACTGACAAAAAAGTGCCAACATAAATTTGTGAATTTCTCCATAAATTTCGCTCCAAATTTTACAAAATTTCATATTTAGGCGTAATTTGAGTCGTAGAATCGAAATATGTAAAAAAATTGGTATGTTATTTCAGAAAAAGTCCGATTTTGTGTCAAAATACCTATGTTAGAATAGTGCTATATATAAATCTAATATATATCCTAAGTCGCGCTTTCGAGACATGAAGAACGCAATTTGAATTTTGTCAATCGGCCCAGTAGATCGGGAGATATAGGACTGTCCTTTTTTTTTTTTTTTTTTTTTTTTTTTTTTTTGAGCAGTGTACATATACAGCAAAACTAATTTGTATACCACTTGCATTTTAACAAATATTTAATACATGCACAAAATTAAATGCAATGTAATAAAATAGCTATTTACAAATGATAATCAGCATATCAGATTAGATTACTTGAAAGTAATTTTGCGTTTTCTTACATTTGTGCTCTTTATAAGCTGACAATAAACAGTAAAAAAAGAAGACTGGAAATAATTTCTACTATACGACTCATGTCCATCCACCTTATTTTGAAAATAAATTAGTCCAAATGGCACATGCATTTTTACATTCGCGGTCGTGGCCGAGGCGGTTGAACTATACATACTCTATCTGATCGATAAGCACTTAATTTTTACCAAGCATATTTTTTTTCTTTTTTATTATGGATAAAAACATAAAATTTGAAATTGTCTTACCTGTATGAATTCTTCTATGTCTTGTCAATTTATCTTTCCTATAGAAACCTCTGCCACAAAAATCACAAGGATATGGACGTTCACCTGTATGTATCATGGAATGGCGAGTGAGATGATTTTTCTGAGAGAAGCTCTTTCCACATACCTCACAGTGGAAAGGCTTATCGCCCGTGTGGGTTCGCATATGGTCAAGAAGCTTACAACGATAACTAAAACCACTACCACAGATTTCACATGAACAGGATTTCTCACCATGAGCTGCTTTAACGTGAATGCGAACCCTGTCTCCCGAAGCAAAATATTTTCCACAAATGTCACACGGCACAGTTTTCTCACCCTTTGTGTGAGCAGATAAATGAGCCTGGAGTTCAGATGCTTGTTTAAAGGGAACTTTACAAGAAGGGCAAGGCCACGATCGCTCTTTTTCACCAAGGTTATTATCGTCGTGTGGTTGGTGATGATGTTGTGGATGTTGTTGCTGATTTTGTTGTTGCTGCTGCTGTTGCTGAGGTTGTGGCTGCTGCTGTTGTTGCTGTGGAGGAGGAGGTTGAGGCTGCTGTTGTTGAGATTGCTTATCTAAATTAGGATTAGGAATTTTTAATCCAGAGTCAATCCCCGGAAAAGCCGGTGGTGCAGAAGCTGCAGCTACAAGTAAATTCCTGGTAGCTGAAAAGTCATTCTGGTTAGAAAGATGATTTTTTATTCCACCTCTGTTACCACCTTTTTGTTTTGAAGAATCATCAGGATGCTGCAAGGGTTGAGACTGACTTACGGCTGCAGCAACGTGGAAATTAGCCAAGTGAGAACGAGGATCAAATCCTAAAAATAAGTACTAGTGATTAAAAGTTGAAAGCAATAAACGCTACAATGAAGCAAAAGCAAACATATACAAAGACCAATTTATCCATATATTCCTCAATATAAGATAAAAAATATGCAAGTAAATTTCTAAATTTAATTCATAATAACCTCTTATTTTTTATTTCATTTGGGAACCTCTCTCTGTCCTAAAAATAGCACTGCAAGTCTAAACTGCATCATTCAAATTATTCATGCAATCTTACATAATGCTTAATGCAGATGTCTCTTGACCAATCACCAAATTGTAAACCAAAACTTAAAACTGAAGCTTTTGGCTCCCTTCCTCCTTTGCATTACTACTGCGACACTCTCTTCTCGTTTAAGCTTTCATCTTGTTAAGATGCTTTGCTGCAATCATCTATGTGCTGCTGTGTTAGCTTCTACTGGTACAGTATCAAAATTGCGAATGTTCTGGAAGTGAGCAGGATTGGAGTGCCAAGTGAATTGTGGCCACAAAATGTGAATTTAAATAAATGTTGAATTTTATTCGGCTTAACTGATTATTCTTCATTAAAATGTGTAGACGCTCTAAAGCATCAAATACTTACGCCATCAGCATTTCCGCATATATACGTCGAAATGTTCTTACATTCAATGCTTCCAAAATTGTGTTAATATTACATTTATTAGTCGTACAGGATAGGACTACGCTACTAACCTCAATAGAACATTTATTCCTCAGTTGGTTTTCTGTAAAATAATATCGGCAAACTCATCATTCTAAAAGATATCATCGACTATTCAAATACTAGAGTGCTATCATTACATTCTTCGGCCAGTTCTAATTCTGAAGGAATCTACACGGGTTTGTTATTCTATGTTCACAGTGAATCATATGAAAAGTCCTGTTTCACCGAAAATTTTAATGCAAGTTTGTGCCGCATTCATAATCAAATCATTCATGTCGTGTCACTGAATCGCAATTTCATTACATACATATATATCAATTTTAAAAAAAATCAGCTTCAAAAAATTCCAGTTTTAATATATGAAGCGAAACAGTAAGAGAATATTTCAAAGGCAGATATTTTTGCTGAAGTATTTCTTTCTTTCAGATGAGTGGAAGGAAATGAGGTTATACTGAGAATCTTGTTTGATGTAATCAAATCATTGTCCCCATGATGCACATCGTCTGTATATTTTAGTTCTAGCTTAGATTGTAAAAAGTTGGCTCTTGTTTAGGTTTAGAATTTATAACCTTACCAAGGTCATTAAAGAACCTTGTTGAGATTACTTAAATTCTGGTAGGGAACATTGTAAAATTCCATTATGTTAAACTGATCAGTTATTATGATTTAGATCTTCACTGTCCCATTTCATCTCTGTTTCCCTACCAGAATGCAAATTTAATTTAAGAGTATTTAAGCTGAGGTTTTTGGATTTAACCCTTTTGGCCCTAATGGGCACATACGTGAAAGATATTAGATTTCATATCCTATTGGGTAAATAAAACCCACTTTTAAATGCGTTTTTACATTTTCTGTGTTTTTAAGGAATTAGGGAACAAATATATGACTAAAGAAACCTGGCAAGACTTAAATTGCAAATGGCACACTTATGTTTTTGAGCATGCCGATTACTCAAGTTTCAATTCATCTTACCTTAATGTTCTTTTTAAGTAGTAATTTAGTATTTTTAATGTCAGATTTAAGATATTTTGAATAAATTATTTTTCTAGGATATATTGTCTCAATCAATTCATATTCAGACCTGATATGATGCACATCCTTTTATCTGGTTAGTTCCAAAATGCCATATTATCGTACTTTCAATGTCCGTTGAAAAGATCAATATTTGTTTGAAGAAAAATTTTGTTCAGAAATTTTACGAATTTCTTAATTACCCTTAACAATTACATTAACAATTATTTGAAAAACAACATTGAACAAGATCATTAATCTGAGATTACTTCGAAAACGAAACTAAGATTTTACAAAGATTGGTACACTTGCCAATGGACAATCAAATACACAAATTTAGTAAACATAAAATCCCAAAAACAGAATTTAACCTTTATAAATCTTCTACAGTCAAAAGTCGTTAATCCGGACTCATCAGGACTTCGGCAATTCCGGATTATAGATCATCAGTTTAAATCTGGTAAAATGGCATGCAGAAATTATAAAATTAAAAATATGAAACCGTAATTTATGAAATAAAGAAAAATTATGATCTAAAGGGTATCAAAATTTACAAAAAAAAGCTTAATATTTATTTGTTTACTTTATTAAACATTTCTTTCAATGCAAGTTGTTTAAGTTGCTTCGTTTTTTATGTGATAATACATTCTCTTTAATTCTATAAACAGACATAATTTCTTGTTCAGTTACAAAGTTCCGCTGTTCAAGTCCTATAATTGCTGTGTCGAGAATACCGACTAATTTGTCAATCGAAATTTATTCATTTTCAATAACCTCTGTCACTTTCTTCGCTATCCGAAGCGAATTATAATGACGAGGAATTTGATTTAAATCATATCAAAGACTGAGTACATCGAGATGAAATACTACATTGAGTAAGCAATTATAAGCCAAATAAAATAAAAACATCTGCCCTTAAGATAAGGGTAGTGCTGACAGATCAACTTCCAATTCATTGCACACCGCTGCAGCGTTAAAGATAAACAAGTTTAGATAAAACAAACGTTAAACTTTAGATAAACAAAGGATATGCTTTTATCCATTTTTTGCAGCAATTCCACTTTTTGTTTAATGGACTCCGAAAGATACTTTCGCTTTGTATATCCTTTACATATTAGTAAATACATATCGGAAATTCTATTTGACAATCGAAAGTTTAAGCTTACTTTTATAAAATTGCTCTAACAGTCTGCAAAAAATAATAATCCGGATCCAATTCGAAGATTAAGGAACAACGCAATCTGCAACATTAACTGAAATAGATAATTAGATAATTTTAGCTTAGCTTATCCCGTCCGTTATACATTAAACGCGCATTCGTAAACGTATTTTGCGCACGCGCACACGCAAATTCGCAGCGGTAAGCGACGCATGCGCAGAAAGTTTGTAGCTTTGAGGTACGGATTATAGATCATTCCGGATAATGGGTGTCCGAATTAACGACTTTTGACTGTATTAGTAATGAATGTAATGTCTACACAATTCTAAATGCTCTAAGAAATTAATTTTTGACTATAGTTCTCTCTGAAAAACACCATTAGATATATTATAAGTTGTTCTCAAATATTACAAAATAATAATTCTAAAATTTGATAAACACACAATTGGAAAATACAGCAAGTTTTCAAATGTCTTTTCAGAATAATGGCAACTAAAATATTAATTCAAAAGAAGTATTCTTATTGCATAAAAACAAAACATTAGTGGCACAGTTTAAATTATATACTAGATAAAACCCTTTCATTTTTTAATAATTTCTGTTCTCCAAAAGGAAATAATATCCATTAATATTATTCATAAAATAAAATAAAACACATAACTCGTTCATTAAGAGCAACACAGTTATAAAAATACTAAAAGAATTATGCACACCGGAAGCATTTATCAATCAGAATAAAAATAACATTTTGCCACGTAAACACTTTTCAGAACCGAAACTAAATTTAACTCGTGTTGATTTCCAGTGAAATCAAAATTAATCTTCAGTTAGAACATAGAATTAAAACACAGGAAATTCAAATAGAAATCAATTATTTAAAACAATGTCAGACAATATAAATTCTTAAAGTGCAATAGCTAAAAGGAAACACCTAGAGCTTATATATACTTTATATAGAATTCTGTTTCATTTTCAATGACACATTTTAGTCCATATTATTAAAGTATAAATGACATTATAGTTAGAATTTTATACTGTTTCAAGTGAAACTTTTATCTCTTTGTTAAGTTAAATGCTTATTAAGTGAATATCTCTTTCTGGAACTACTCTGATATGCGCCTTCAAGCCACCAAATTTCTCGCCAAACTACACGCCGCCATTTTACTATCTAAATTTTTTTCTCTACATTTCGAACTTTAAGCCTAAATTTTCTCCAAAAACGCGGTTTTCGCACATGCAAAAACTACGTTTTGAATACACAATTTAAGCTAAAAATCCGAAACAGAAACAAAAAATTTAGATAGCAAAAACGTAAAATTTCTAACCAAAAATATTTGACAAGAATCCATGTACACAGCGATATGTTTTAACTTAAAAAAACATCTACGAATGTCATAATCTAGGCAACGAACGAATCTACGAACTACACACACCTCGCTTTAATAAATTAACATAACAATAAATTTTAAAGAATACCATGTACACAGCATCCTGTTTAAACTTTAAAAAAATATACGAATAGCACAATTTAGGCAACGAACAAATCTATGAACTAGGCACACCTCGTTTTAATAAATTAACATAACAACAATAAATTTTAAAGAATACCATGTACACAGTGTTCTGTTTCAACTTTAAAAAACATCTACGAATTGCACAACACACTAATCAACAAAAAAATTCAAACAATTAAAAAAAACAATAATAACGACAGAAATTTCTACTAAAAAAAATGAACAAAACATTATACAAAATAAAAACAAGGGTTGATCTTTACAATATGGTAACTGGTAGTTTGGCGACATTTTGGAGGCGATAAAGGTTACTACCTGGGACTTTGGTGATAATGTGAGCAGTACTCAGTTCCGATTACGCATTATTTTGCATGAGGGAAATGAGAGATCATGGGATATGTCATGTGATATTAATGGACGAATTACGGTTCTTTAATCGGAAAAGGGGGGGAAATCGGGAAAAAATCTGGAAATTTTGTATTTAAGCTTTATTCTGTGTTGTGTGAAACAGTGTTTGTTAATTTTTGGATCCCATGGCCCTAACTAAAGTGAATTCGAAATGGGTATTTAGGCATTGTGATAAAGAGAAGTTTGCTTTTTATTTAGCGGAGGAAGTATGGAGGAAAAATTCGCAGAAAAAATCTTTCAATAATTTTATTGAATGAATTAGAAACGTGTATCCGCCACGTAATCAAGATTCTGAAGATTAGGTAAGTTAGTATTTTTAATTATTTGAGGATATTATTTTTATGTATTGTTTGTTCTAAATGTAAGGTGGAAAGGAATTTGGTATTATTGGGAAAATTGTTATTAGAAATGATTTAGTTTAAAGTAATTAGGATTGTAAGGTAATTTTTATTGATTTAATGTATGTGCTCATTTATATTTTAAGTAGTGTTTTTGAATTTAATTATATTTTAATGAAATGATAGTTATTTTGTGAATTTTATGTTTGTAGGAATTTGGTATACGTTTCAGTTGAAGTAAACGTGCATGGAAGTAATTTAAATATTTGACACTAAGTATTTGTAACCATTTGTAATGTTTGCGGTATGAATTCGTTGGTGACGTTTATAATAGATAATTTAGAGGTAAAAGTTTTTGGATATTTTATTTATTTTATACGTGGAAATGTTCATCTTTGGAAAGGGTATGTACTTTTTGCGATCATGTAATTTCATATATGTTCTTTTTACCGGATTGAGAAAATTGTCATGTATTTTCGTGACATTTTTCTAATTTATGAGAAAAAAGCAGTGTACATGGATATAGTGAAGAGTGTGCGCAATGCCATTTTTGTGGAATTCTGGGATGTTTTTTTAAGTAAAAATAAGTCGACGTGTACATGGTTTAGTGATATTTTAATTAAATGATAGTTATTTTGTGAATTTTATGTTTGTAGGAATTTGGTATACGTTTAAGTTGAAGTAAACATGCATGGAAATAATTTAAATATTTGATACTAAGTATTTGTAATGCTTGCGATATGAATTCGTTGGTGACGTGTATAATGTAATAGATGATTTAGAGGTAAAAGTTTTTGGATATTTTATTTATTTTATATGTGGAAATGTTCATATTTGTAAAGGGTAAATACTTTTTCGCGATCAGGTAATTTCATATATGTTCTTTTTACCGGGTTTAAAGATTGAGAAAATTGTCATGTATTTTTGTGAAATTTTTCTAATTTATGAGAAAAAAGCAGTGTACATGGATATAGTGAAGAGTGTGCGCAATGCCATTTTTGTGCAATTCTGGGATGTTTTTTTAAGTAAAAATAAGTCGGCGTGTACATGGTTTATGTGTATGTGTTATTTTGAAAAACGCGTAAGGAATATGGTACTGTGCACTTTTTCCCAATTTTGCAGTGAATATTTGTCATGATTAAGCAGTTTTGTTTGATAAAATTTCTAGCATAAGTGTAATTCGGCTAGTAGATTGTTGGAAGAAGTGTTCAGTAGATAAAAAGAAAAGAAACATGTCTTTACTTCGTGAAGACAAAATGGCGGCGGGGAAAAAAAAATAGACGTTTCCCGTAGGAGAGTTGGTTGCCAAATTTTCGCCAAAAAAATCGCCAAGTTACCATAATGTAAAGGTCAACCAAAACAAGAATAAAATAAAATGCACTTACTATGAATGAATGCTTTTTTAAACAGCAGAAATACCAATTTAAAGCTGCCACGTAATCACTATCGTATTTATATAACAGCCAGACATACTATCCAGAAAATTCATACTGTGGTTCACAAATAAATAAAATCACAAATAATCACAAATCCCTACTTCTCTCATGCACAGCCACTAAAAATAGTCTCACAGACCCTCTTTCCACACCTCCAAATACCCACTGCCCCTCAACAGGATGGCCACATTGATATTTCTTTTTGCCGAACTTCAATTCAACAACTTCCATTTTATCTTTCCCCCCCCTACCTTCTTAGACACAGACGCGAACCAACGAGCATGATGTGAACCAACAAGATGGCCACATTGATATTTCTTTTTGCCAAACTTCAATTCAACAACTTCCACCATTTTATCTTTTCCCACTATCTTCTCAGACACAGACGCGAACCAACAAGCATGACACGAATCAACTGGGCGGAGCGAAAAATTTTTCAACCTCAACAGGGTTGCCATACAACACGCAATCCCGCCAAAAACCAGTGCAGAACACGTATCGCCACATTTGGTGAAATTAGGACGTATGTCAGAGTTGTACCCCCTTTCTTATTAAGTTAAATGCTTATCCATTATCTTCGGGCAAAGATGAAACCATGCAATGTCCGAAATAGTTTTCAGGTGAAGATAAAACCGCTAGTTTATGCAATTTCCAAAATAATCTTAGGGTGAGGACTTACTGGTGGGAGAAGTACCTAAAACCTGGAAAAGAATACAAGTCGATGTACTGCAGTCGTAAACTAAACATGGTTTTTTTCTCAACTGGATAAATCATTCAAGCTGCTCGTTGGGTAGCCAACTATAACCAAAACTAACATAAACAAAAGACTCATTTGGCCTTTTTAAATAGTTTTAATTAATAAAACACACTTAAGATAAAACATTACAATTAAGGGCGTTATAATTACACATTTAAGTTACAAAGTAAATCTTGGGGAAACAGCATACTCAGTTCATGACTCCCGTACATCGATTGACAGCTAGTCTTTTTTTTTTTTTGGCTGGTGCTTATTCCGGCGGACGCTAGGTGGCGCTCATTGAGCCGTGGTGTAACTTTAATTTCAGTACAATTTTAATGATATGCTTTGAAAAATCAAGTGCTTTTAATAAGTCTAAACTAGGAACAATTGAAGAAATTTTAATTTCTCACCTGGATTCATAATAAAAAGCATATTTTATATTTTTTATCTGCTTTAACAACTTTGATCATATTTTTAAGAAATTTATCCTAGGATTGATGTGAAGTAAAATAACCCACAATACTACTTGTCATATGACAGAAAGATCAAAAGTTAGTCGTAACTGCATTTTTTTATATAATGTATAATCAGCTCAGAATTTATTTACTCATAAAAAAATACCTGAAACTTAATAGATGAAGATAAGTGTATTAATTGCAATACACAGTCATATAAATCAATTAAATACAAAAAATATTAATAACAAGGTAACCACAAATTTTTATGGTTCATTTTTCAAAATTTGCTTACGTATGCTGTCTTAAAAGAAAAGAAAGAAAATTCAACATAAATTAATATTTAAAGTTTAATCTGAGCAACACATTGCATAAGATGACTATAAATATATTTCTATAATTTAAAAATATAAAAAAATCAATTGAAAATTTTTAGATATAAATCTTACAAAATGTGATCGTAGGCAAAAATGTCGGTCCCTTTCGAGATTTACGTTATTCAACCTCTTTATTTTGTAACCTAATTTATTTTTTAAAATAAGGAAGTTTAATTATTTTAAATATGAACTATTAGTGTGTTATATTCATGATAAAAATTAATTACAGAAGTTCTTTTCTTTAGCAAATCAATAAAAATAATTTGTCTTCTACATGTCAACTCTTACCATGAGATTACTTTACCCCCAATTAGTTTGTAAATCTGCCTAAAAGGGGTAGTACATATTCAGTGACATATATAAACTAGTCAAGCCAAGCTTGACTTTGAATATGTACTGCCCCTTTTCAAACTAATTGTGGGTAAAATAATCTCACGATAATGGACTTGACATGAATGGAAGACAAATTATTTTTATTGATTTGCTAAATTTATATATCTAAAAAATTTCAATTGATTTTTTTATATTTCAAATTGTAGATATATATTTATAGTCATCTTTACACAATGTGTTGCTCAAATTAAACTTTAACTATTCATTTATCTTGAATTTTCTTTCTTTTCTTCTGGGACAGCAATATGCAAGCAAAATTTGAAAATGGGCCTTTTAACAACCTGGTATTAACGAAGTTAGAACTTATATAAATCAAAAAGTGTTACTACTGCAGACATACAAATTATTACAAAAGAAAAAAGAAAAGAAAAAGATGTTAGTAGAAGGCACATGTTGAAATTGAAAGAACACAGGCTTGGTGTTAAGTTTACTTAACATAAAAGTTAGAAGAAGCTGATGGAAAGCAGTCTAAATGCAGCAATTTGTAAATTTAATATACCTCTATAATCAGGCCAAGGCGCTGAACTATTGCAGAGGGTCAAAACATCTGAAAAAAATGTACTTTTGAATCAAACTTAAGACCATAATGAATACATATTAAGTATATCAAGGCTACTTGCTTAACATCTTTCTTCTTCCTATATTTGTAGTACTTTTTCTTTTATACATTTTAAATGCAATTTAACTTCTAAACTGCCTATTCAATCAACTATAATACAATTAGTTTCACATTTTGCTAATATCTAGAATCCATATCCAATTTACAATAATAATAATGCTATAATGCTTTTTATACAAAAAAAAATTGTTTTCAAAAAGAAAAATAAAGACCAAGTAACAGGACTCTAATAAAATGACTTCCTATTATTATATTATTATTAAAACATGAATCATCATACTAAGAAAAATGTACAAATATTCTTTGCATTGCCATTCCATGCAAAATGTGAAACAAATGCAAATAAAGATGTTAAACAAGTACATATAATGAAGCATGCAAACACATTTTGAATCAAACAAAAGATATAAAAAAAAGCATTTTAAATTACATTTCTCTCCAACTTAAAGTGCATTTCATTAATATTTCATAAATAATCACTATTTTTATAACTGCGGCAAAACAGAACAAAAAGTAAACAAAACCAAAAACATTCCACAAAGTCTTTCCAGCATTTTTTATACCGTAAATGGCATCTAGTTCACCACCTAAACACAGACAGCTTATATTGAAATACTCTGAAAACAAACCTAAACATGAAGGATGTCATGCATATGTATATTTACACGTGACTGCATGGATATGAGTGCTTTTTTAGTTTTTTTTTTTTTTTTTTTAAATTTTGAAAAGAATAATCGTATGTGCATAACCCAAATTTTCTACCTAAATATCCCATTCTAAACATCCAAATACAATAACATTCCTTACATTTAATTAACATTTATGTTATGAAGCAATCAACTAGTTATTTACCTTCAACTGCACAACACAGCTATCGCAATACAGTCAGAACCCAGATTTCACACAAGCATTGGTCAGCTTCTTAAGCCTCTCACAGGTTTTACTCTTAAGAACAATAGTACAAAAATTTGAAGTTTTTAAATTTGAATTTCCAAATGTACTTTAATTTTTTAAGTTTAAAAGGGAGGGCAAGCGTCTCTAACAAATGCAATTGTAAGTTTATAAGGATATAAATCACTTTATAGGTTTAAAATTACACAGCTAAGTAATTCAGCTTAAAAAAATGCACAACAATATTTGACTAAAGGGAATTATATGATCAAACGTTGTTAAGTAGGACTACTAAATCAAACAGAGGTTAGAGTAGAGAAGGGTACCCCTTGTATTATCGCGAAGTTGTTTCATTTATGGTAGCCTGAGTAGTTGAATGTTATGGAAACTCTATTATGATGTAATCAGTTTCATGATTGCGGTAAATTCATAAGGTCTTGTGTTGTGTGTGTTGGAAGAATATTGCTTGTTTTGTTGTTTAGACAGTAAAATGGCTGAATGTGGTAAGATTAATTTGAAATTTCTGTACGATTTGGAAAGAAAGGGGAAAACAGCATTACTTGGCTGGTGTGTAAATGAAGGTTTACTTAGTAGCCATCACTAAGTGTCCTGTTTGTAGGAAGAAAACATGTATGGTTGAATGTTGGACAATAAACGGCGCTACGGAGGACATTTTGTGAATTTATGAGGCGACGCCAGTATACAGATTTTAGTTCAGATAATTTTAGCAAGTTTTTGAATGCTGTTAAAAAATTTTTTTTGAATGAAGACGTGTTAATTCGTAAATAATGTAAGTTGATATTGCCTTTGTATAGTGCAAACATGAATTTCCTTTCTTAAGTTATTTCATTATTTGATTGTTTGATTTAAAATGTAGTTTATTGATATTAGATATATTATTGCTGTCTGCTCCTTTGACTTTTTTCGATGTGTACATGGACAAAGTCAAGGGAGTGCGCAATGTCTAGTTTGCGCAATTCTTCGATTTTTTATACAGGGGTTAGACAAAAATATGGAAACACCTTTAAAAAAATATGTTTCTTTGCTTAATAAGGTGTAGGAAACCCGTTGGCATCCAAAAAAGCTTGCAGTCTTCTCGGAATGGATAAATACAGTTCCTGTATGTTTGCCAAGGGAATATTATACCATTCTTCCTGCAAAACGGTGGCAAGTTCAGATAACGATATTGGCGGTGGATAACGAGAACGCACTTTCCGTTCCAATGTAGACCACAAAGGTTCGATAATATTCAGGTCTGGTGACTGTGGTGGCCAGGGGAGATGGGACAACTTATCCTCGTGCTCAGAAAACCAGTCCTGGACAATGTGAGCTGTGTGGACAGGGGCTTTGTTATCTTGGAAGACACCATCACCATCGGGGAACAAAGTTTGTATCATGGGATGAACTAGATCGGCCAAAATGTTCACATGTCTTGGCAGTCATGTGCCCTGACACAGTTATCATGGGGCTAGCAGAGAACCACGATATGGCTGCCCAATCCATAACAGAACCCCCGCCATGTTTCACTCTTGGCAACAAGCAGTCTGTATTATAGGCTTGAGATGGCGTTCTCCAGACGTAAACTCGGCCAGAAGTGGGAAACAATGTGAAAGAAGACTCATCAGACCATGTTATTCGCTTCCACTGCTCTACAGTCCAGGCTTTATGACTTAAACACCACCTTTTCCTGTTACGGGCATTAGCATCACTGATGAGTGGCTTTTCAATTGCAGCACGGCCAGCAATTCCCTGTTTATGAAGCTCCCTTCTAATTGTTTTGGTACTCATAGGGTTCGGTAACACAACATCATTTCAGCAGTAACTTTTGCAGCTGTGATCTTATTTTTCGTCACAATTGCCCTTAATGATCATCTGTCACGATCACTCAGGACAAAATTTCGTCCGTGCTGTGATTTAGCAGATGATGTTTTTCCGCTTTTCAAATATGCAGAATAAATCTTCGATACAGTACCTCTTGAAACACTACACACCTTGGCTACCTTGTTTACGGAAGCACCTACCATACAACAACATTTGCCCACGTTCGAAGTCTGTTAACTCTGACATAATGCAATGACAACCTCACATAACAGTACTCTGACAACAACTGAACTGTTTAGCACATTTACGAAGTTGTATATGGCGTCAGTAGTCAAAAATGCCAGCGTCACCTACATATTTCATTGAAATCAATCTTTCTTTTCAAACATGCATTTCACAAGGTGTTTCCATATTTTTGTCCATCCACTGTAGGTCGATGTGTACATGGATACCAAGTTTGTGCAATTCTTTGTCTTATTATTTTGGCTTTGTGTAGCGGCGATTTATGGTACGAAACTTGCCGCTACACAAGCCAAAATAACAAGTCAAAGAATTGCACCAACTCAGTATGCATATACCGCCAAGGGGTACCCGTAAATATACTTTTACCTCTAATAGATTGGTTAAGATATTTCACCACTAATAGCTAAAATCGGAATAATAGTTAAAATCGGAGATAGTGAGTTTCTGAGAGGCAGATTTTCATCTGCAAGGTGGAGATGAAAATCTGCTTTATTCCGAACCTTATTAGCACTGCGCTTCCAAATCCTACAGTTTGTTAAATAAAAAATTTGTAAGTTTTAGAAAATCTATACATATAAAGAAGAATGTCTGTTTGTGTGTTTGTTCGCATTATTATTGATGTCTGATCAATTACGATAAATTGTTTGCCACATTTAATCAACTAAAATTGAATTTTGATAAAATATAGAATGGAACATGAGCTTTTACGACCATTTCATTAGAAAGACGAAAATTATTAAAAATTACGTGCCACTGTTGCTGATATAATGAGAGAGAATTAGTGTATTTTTGTATCGAAATTTACTGAAAAATGTATTGCTATGAATCGTATCTTTTGCATCGCTATTAAAGAAGGATTACAGCGGGGTCGTTCTCTCTACTGTTAGATGCATTACTCTCAATCATCGGGTACTTCTGCTAGTTTATATATAAATGGCATATTTGTTGAATATAAATCACACTTATACATGAATTTACAGCCTGTGATATTTATATTTTTAATTTTACATATTATTTGGAATACATCCCTTAAATTAAATAAAAACATAGATGGCAAGACATTCTAACGAGACTAATGTGTGAAAAGGAGGGATTGCAACAATAAAAGTTGAAAACTACTGATATAAATGACATTTAATCGCAGTACAGAACTCTCCAAAGAAATTTTAACTCCGCTGAAGAGATTAAAGAAACTGCGAACCGATTTCTAATACAAAGCATTTTTCATGCAGTAACCTTTAGACATATGAGGCTGACTACAAGATGTTATTTTATTTACTCAAATGTTGATTTTAATATATACTTGTGGATACGATGAAGACTGTCTTGATTGTTAGAATGAAAAGCCTTCTCATAATTAAAAACTTAACTTTTTCTATGACTTAGTGTAAAACAAGAATTGCAATTAGTAAAATATTCTGCTTCAGTTAGTTATAAAAAGTACCCCTCTTTCTGTTTCAAGTTTTGCAGTTATTTTTGCTCTAATTATGGCAAAACACATGCAGGCTATCTGCTTATGAGGAAAGATGCTTTCACTGAATATTTTCAAAGAAAAAACAGCAGATATTCACATGTGAACAAAACTGTGGAAAACCCATGGAAATTCCTTTTATCAGAAATCAAACTATCAGTGTTTATCTGTTCTAATCATCAAATTATCTCCGATAGGTTCTTTCACAAGAGATAGAAACAACTAACTTCAAGAAGTCTTTGTTCTGATTATCTTTGTTTTTTCATTAATTAATTGATTAATTAAAATTGAAAACATATTTCACATTTCAGTAGTAATTTAGTGACTGAAATAGCTAAAAAAAAAAAAAAGTCACTTTTTTTAGCAACGAGGTGCGACACAAAAAAAAACGACTGCGTCATTGAGTGAACACGTGCAACAACTTCATTCTGCCGGGAAAATGTCCAATGCAAAAACCGAACAGCAAATGAACATCACGTTTCTTATGAAACTTACAAAATCA